GCATTACGGTTACGGCATTACGGCATTACGGCGTATAATATTTACGGCAATCAGGTACTGTGGTAGAATGCCGTAATTCAGTAATTCTACCGCCAACTATAATCGTAACTGAGTGATGCTAGCTAACCAACTATATAGCAGTCAGACATTGACTTCATTAATAGTTTTTAAGCTCAGTCATTGAAATTCAAACCAATATTCAGATTGCAAGTACTATCAACTTCTTTTATAAGAGTCATTTTCTTATACCAGGAATGGATTGCAATGAAGAATATGGTTCCCCGTGACTGAAATGGTGTCTGCGTAGATTTCTCCCGTTCCTGGTTTCGCGCGACAACGTTGCGCAGCTACTTATTATTGATTATTTACTTAAATTCTTGATTCAATTTTGCTTCTAAATATTGCCAAATCAAGTTTTATAAAATTAATTTATAGAATTATATACAGGTGCTTATTAATTCTTTCACAATGCTTTAATTACTAGTTGGCAAAATAATTTTTTTTTAAATAATTACAAAAACTAATAAAAAATATTATACCGAAAAAATAATGATAAACTTTCGTGATTATAAATCAAAAATAGAGCAATCAACAACTTTCGTCATGTCAGAAGTAAAACTAATAAATTAGCAAAAGATATTTCGCTCACAAAATTTTGATATGAAGTGCCCACTAATTCTATTACAAATTCAAACCAAGATAACATGGGCTGGGCTGCCGTCAATCGAAATCAGGCGGTTTAAATTTCAAATTCCATGATAATAGTGGATAGCTTAAGTGGTAAAAATTTAGCCAAAGCCTCTCAATTCTTACTTTCATAAATTATAGTTGCTGGTGTATAATTTGCTCGAAGGATTTCTTTCAATTTGTTTTTTTCGGCATAACTAATCTCATTATTTTTAATATTTAAGGTGATCAATGTAAAATTTTTATGGAGTGCCTCTGTTAATAACTTTCCTTCTTCAAAATAGATTTCATTATTAGAAAGATTTAATGAAGTTAAGGTAATGTTCATATAGAGAACCTTTACAAATGTCTTTATCCCTTCAGCAGTAATATAATTATTATTAAGATTTAAATTAGTTAAAGCGATGTTTATATAAAGTGCCTTTGCTAATGCTTCAGCACCTTTAGTACCGAGTCGATTGTAACTAAGGTCTAAATCAATTAAAGTAATGTTTATACAGAGCAACTTTGCTAATGCTTCTCCTCCTTCAAAATCAATACGATTAGATGTAAGACTTAAAGAAGCGAGAGTGGTATTTTCATAAAGAGATCTTGCTAATTCTTTTACCCCTTTAGAACCAATTTGATTGCTGCCAAGATATAAAGTAGTTAAAGTATTATTTTTACAAAGAGCTTTGGCTAATACTTCTGCTCCTTCAGTATCAATACAATTATTGCTAATATTTAAATTAGTTAAAGAAGTATTTTTATAAAGCGTCTCAGCCAATGCTTCGGCACTTCTAGAACAAAGTCGATTACCAGAAATATCCAAAACAGTTAAAGTTGCATTTATACAGAGTGCATCAGTCAATACTTTTACTCCTTCAAGATCCAGTTTATTATAAGAAAACATTAAAGAAGTTAGGGTAGTGTTCATATGAAGAGTTTTTCCTAACACTTTTACCCCTTCAAAACCGATTTGATTATTATAAAGACCCAGAGTAGTTAAAGTATTATTTTTACAAAGTGCTTCTGCTAATACTTCTGCAACTTCAGATCCAATTTGATTATTATAAAGGTTTAAAGAAGTCAAAGTAGTGTTTACACTAAGAATATTTGCTAATATTTTCCCTACTTCGGAACAAAGTTGGATAAAAAAAAGATCTAAATAAGTTAAAGTAACGTTCTTGCACAAGGCTCCTAACATTTCTTCCAGTCCATTTATACTAAATTCAGTCGAATAAAGACATAAAGAAGTAATCGTGGTATTTTTGCAAAGGACTTCCATTAATATTTCTATTGTGACAGAATTGAAATTAACAATATAAAAGTATAACGAAGTAATAGTATTGTTTCTATAAAGACTTTCAAATGTCAACTTATTATAAATAGTTCCTTCAAATTTTAAATATTTAAGCTTTTTACTTATTCTTAGAAACATTGATATTAAAGAACATTTAATAGCATTAGACTCTTCACCGTATCCATCAGCAATAAAGGATGAATAGGAGAATCTATACATATTGCAATTTTCATATTTAAGCCAATTTTTAATTCCATCGTTTAAATAAAAGCCAACTGATGTAGTATAACTTGCGTATTCAAATAATGGTTGGGGATAACTTGGGAAAATGATATTAAATGGAATTAATTGAGTTTGTTCTTTAGCATTTAATGATAAAAGATATATTCTTATAAGTCTTTTATCATCAATATGTTTCGTTGGTTCACTCCATAATATTGGTACAACAATTCTACACCAGAGACGGTTTACAAGAAGACATGAAAATAAGCTTCTGTAATTAGTCCTAAGGTTATCAAATATGTTTAAAAAGCATTCATTTGGTAGCGCAATCATTTTTAGAGAATTAAAGAAGTTCAACGCAAAATGGATTTTTGACTTCATTGTATAATAAATGATTTATAGTAAGACAGACAAATCATGTGATTACAGATTATTCGTATAACGTTTCCATAATTTTCCTAATTTGTATCGTTATGGGGATAAGTTGTACGAGATTGTGCGTATGGACGAAAATTAAACGAAATTTTAATCGTACGTATACAAATTGGTTATTAATTTAGTATATATGAATTATTAAGAAAAGTCAACGCCAAGTTTTGGGCTCTTAAACACCCGACTCAATTCTTAAAAAACATAAATTTACAGATTAATTTCTTGACATCATTCCAGTATTCAAAAAATTCATTTTAATTATTATATATATATATATATATATAGTTATCTTTACCTCCTTCCGCTATCCTGAAGGTCCTTAGACACCTTTAGGACCTGTCACATCTCTTAAAGGCCAGAGTTATCATTCTGCGAAGATCATTGGACGGCGTGTGGCCCCTGTATGTCACCGAACTGTGAGATAATTCATGCTTCATTAAGTTCATCATATGACGTCCCGGGTCCCTGGTTCTGCAGTGTAGGACCTACTATCTCCTTCGGTCTGCAGTTCCCTAACTTCACATGACCCATCAGCCAGATTGTCTGTAAATTTTGATATTTTTAATTTTATATGTTCTTAAATCAGGCTCTCTCAATGTTAACATCATTTGTTGCTAGATTATGTTTTATCTGGTTGTTCTGACCTTATGGTTATGTTGATCTCTGCATTTTTTTTCATATGAATCTTGTTTTTATTTTTTAAATAGAAAATCCTCTGTAGATCTTTTTCAATTGTGGTCCTGACAGAGTTTTTGTTACTTTCTGAACTCAAACTCATGACCTTGCGATTGAAACCTAGAAGTGTTAACTATTGTGTTATTAATTTATGAGTCTTAATTATTTTTTTAAATATATAATAAAATATAAATTTTTAAATTATGATCAGTATTTATTTAATTGTTTTTTTTTTTTTTTTTTTTTTAGAGTGAGGCCTGGCCTCGGTCTTTATTGAACAATTTGGTATTACATTAATTAAA